TAGGAAATTGAGAAAATAACCATTCATAAGCTGTGAAACTTGAAGCATCAGATTCACCGGAGGAAGGGATTTTATCGGCGGTGAATGGTCCCAAATTATCACATGGTGTACCAGCTGCATTAAAATGTGAAGGTTTAGTCATATAATGAAGATAATAATAATATTATAGGATTAATTTGCTAGATAGCCAAATGAAAAATTGAAATTGGTTAGAAAATGAAATAATGAGTAAGATATTTATTTACGCGATCTAAATAAATAATATGATATAATGAAAAATCGTGTTTTATCGTATAGAAAAGAAATGAAATATGTTAAAAATACCCGTGATAATTTTTCATCATTTCGTTTGAGCAAGAATTTGATAAAATCTAGTATATTATTTACAAAAAAAAAAAAACTTAATTTGTTTTACATATCGGTTTTCTAGTGCAATTCTCATTTTGTTGTAATTAATTAAGTTTTTCAGCGGAAAAAAGAAAGGAGAAGTAAATACGGGTTAGAGGCGTTCCCGGGTTGCTACTTGACCCGGTAGGAGAATCCGGAACACGACCCGGATCCATCTTCAATTTACGTAGACCACGAACATTGTTATTCCCCTTGGTAACAATTATGCTTCTAGTGACTTGATCGGTGGAGAGAGGAGGAGATCGGACGGTGGATAATGAATCGTGTTTTCTCAATTTTCCGAGACCATTTTCCGGCGTCGGTCCGGCCACCGTTTCATCCCACAACTTGTGTAGGAACCCCATCCGATAAAAAAAACAAAAAATATATAACAATATATTATATATTTTAAAAAAATTATTTTGTGTTTTTAAAAATTTTTATTGTCTCTATCTTCTTTTTCTTCTACAATGAAGATGGTTTTATAGAGGTAGAGAATGAGATTAAAGGATAAAAGAAAGAGAAGCATTGAATTATTTTTAGTGAGGTTAATTATTAGCTTTAGCTTAATTAAGAAGATTTAAATTAAGGATTATGATGCTGACTAATCAATAGCTAATCAATATTTTCAAGACATTTTACACAACAACGACACTAGCACAGACCGGTTGCAAAATACTCGCGATCGTTTCACGACATTTCACACAACGACGACACTAACACAAACCAATAAGTTACAAAATACTCAGTGATGGTTTCAGGACATTCGAGTTTAAAGC